TGCACCACCATGCCCAGCTTCTCTGGGATGCTTTTTTTCCTCTTTGTCTCCTATGTTGTTCCATTAGGTGAAATTCTTTGATGCTTTAGAGGATTTATACTAAACTTGTTTTTTAGTTAGTTAGTTAGTTTGTTTTTTTAGATGCGTCCATGTTGCCCAGACCCCAGGGTGGCCTTGAACTCCTAGGGTCAAACCATTCTTCTGCCTCAGCTACTGGAGTATCCAGGACTACAGGGTATGTACCATCAAGTTCCACTTCCTGAAAAATGTTTTTAGCCTGTTACAGTCTAGCTTCACTAGCAACAAAGGGTTACAACATTATAGCTCCATTTTCTTCACACGCTTTGTTACACATTTTAACTTTTCCTATAAGCTGCTCAAAGCATTGTGATTTTTACTTTTTTTCGGTCTTTTTGAGACAGGGTCTCCCTGTAGCCCCAGCTGGCCTGGAACTCATTATGTAGACCAGGCTGGCCTTGAACTCACAGAGATCTGCCTGCCTCTGCCTCCTGAGTGCTGGGACTAAAAGCATGCGCCACCATGCCCAGCCTGTGATTTTTACTTTTAACAGTTCTTTCCTTCCTTTCTTTCTCGATCTCCCTCCCTCCCTGCCTCCCTCCCTCCACGGATTTCATTATGTAGCATCCCAGGCTAGCCTCAAACTTGTGATTCTTTCTACCTCAGCCTCCTGAGTGCTGGAAGTGCCGCCATGCCTAACTTAAATGGTTGACTTCTAAAGAGATTTAAATAAGACAAGTGTGCAGTTGTCACGGTGGTCTTTGTCCTGCGTAGATGCAGGTTTCTGACCACCATGTCTTCATCTGCCTGAAGGACACCCTTTAGCACTCCTTTAGAGCAGATCTGTTGGCGATTAATTAAAGAATTAAAGATTAATTCTTTCAGCTTCAGCTTCCTAATTTTGCCTTTGTTTTTAAAGGTTTTTTTTTTTTTTTTTCCTGGAAAAGAACACTAGTTTGATGTGTCCCTTTTCCTGGCATTAAAGGTGCTGTTCCTGTTTGTTGCTTGAAGCTGTTTTCCCACTGTCCTTTCCACACTAGCTTCACAGCGATGCTGTGATTTTCATCAAGTTTCCTGTGCTTAGATGTGTTGAGCCCTCTGCAGCCCTGGGTCTATGTTTGTCATCCACCCTGGAAAAGTTTTGGCAATTTTTCTAAGAGTATTTTTTTCTTTCCCCATCTTTTGTCCTCTCCTTGGGGACTCCAAATTCATTTGCATCTCTCCACTGGGGTATACTGCCCTTCACTAATGCCTTTCCCGTTCTGTCCAGTTGTGTACTGCTGTTTTCTTTGCACAGTTCTGTTGCAATCAAGTACTACAAATATCCATCATCTTCATTCCAAGCACTTAATTTTCATACCCAGAGACAGGATTTGAGACTACTTTTTCCCCATGCTTGTATGCAACATATCAGCCTTTCCTGTAGCCTCCCCGCCCCACTCCAGTCTCACTCTGTAGCCCAGGCTGATCTAGAACTTATTATCCTCCTGCCTCAGCCTCCTGAGTGCTGGAATGACCAGCACTGAGTATGCCACCACACCTGGCTTCCTGCAGTATGTGGAATATGGAAAATAGTCACAGAAAGCATGTGATGTTTCTACTTTCTAAGTCTGCCACCTGTCATTTCTGGTCAATTTTGAGGGACTAACACCCCCACCCTCTGGGCTACTATGTAATTTTCTGCTTCATTTCATGTTTGTATTGTACATCTAGAATTACACTGAGCATTTCCATTCTGGCATGTGCTTTAAGGATGTGAGTGGGTTAGTTGGAAGGCCTCTGGGTCTTGTTTTCACACATCATCAGGAGGGACTAGAACTGCCTGGTTTGGGTGGTTCTTCCCCTTAAGCTCTCCTCAGCTGAGGCAAACTCCCTTTCCTCCTTTAGGTGCTACCTCTTGAGCTTCTAGGCTGGAGTTGGGCTGTGGACACAGGTGTCAGATTGACCCAAAGTGGCCTTTGGCCCCTGCTATTTCCCATCCTTGTCTGCTCTGTAGTCTCCGAAGCCCAGGAACTCTTCTGTGCTGGGATGGGGTTCACTGCAGTCTCTGGAACTCTATGGATTTTGTCCTCTTGCCCTCCACCCGCTTCTCGCTTGAACGCTGGCTGGGGTGAGGACAGTCCTTGGGAGTCCGCGCTCAAGAATTACTGTCGTTGTTGCATGTTCCAGGTCTTCAGTGACTTTCATATATTTGTCATCGTTATTGTTTCAGGTGAGGGTACGAATCTTGTCCTTACTGCTTCTCAGTTCTCTGCGGGTCTTTGGAAGCATCTGTACTTTTCTCCTCAGTCACTGCACCTGCTGAGTGGCCATCTTCACAGAGGGACTAGCTGTTTACCTTGCTCATCCACATTTTCAGCCTTTCACAGGATGAGGGCAGCAAGAGAGAATTAGGACTTACGGGGGTTTACCTGTGCGAGCAGATGCGGCACGGAAACTTGTGTAAACCACACAGTGACGTTATGGAGTCGGATTGCAGAAGGGACAAGAAGCACACGAAATAAGCAACCGCTTGAGTTTCACTTTTAAAGGGTTGTACTTAGACGCTCTGGTTTCGGATTCCAAAGCGCAATGAGGCGCGCCGAGCCTGGTTCCAGAGCGGTGAGGGCTGTAGGCGGTTTCCGGACCGCAGGGGTGGGCGCCCTGTGGATCCCAGCAGGACGTGGTGGGGTGGGGCTTGCAGGTTCCCTCGGGAGCCATTGGACTCTTCGCCTCCGCTAGGGGGCAGCGCGTTCCTGCGCTGGAAGGGGGCGCAGGAGGAGCGCCTGGGCGGGGCACCGGGAACAGGTGCAGGGGGCCGTGGCGGCAGGGGACAGAAAGGGTAGGAGGCTGCAGGCTGGAGGTGGAGACCAGGGCCTGGTGGCCCGGAAGGGGAGGTGGGGACAGGAAGAGGTGCCTCCCCATTCTGGCACACCTGCCCCCATACCTATGCCTATGGTCAAGTCTCCTCACCCACCTGTGGCCTCCTCCCCACTGCCCATCTTTCCTTGGCCCCCTAGGTTCACCTCCTGCTTTTGACCTCCCTACACTTTAAAGCCACCTTGACACACCTGCCCTTGGCAGCCACACACCTTGTGGAGCTCTTCACGCCTCCATGGAGGCTCCTCACAGAACTTTCTGCGGAGTCGGCCTAGTCACATTAGCCAGGATTCTATCCATCTGTCGGTTTTGTTCTGAATACTGTCTGTGACCTCGGTGCCTGCCCAAGACCTCAAGTGGTCCAGAGGAGGGGTCTGAGGGCTACTTCTGAGACAGGATCTTGGAGGTGAGAGGACTACTGGAGCGGGTGGGGGGTGTTCCTGGCCTTCTCCAGGGAGTAGAGCAGGTGCAATGGGCTCACCTCCACCGGCCCACCAGGAGCCCACACTGGCCCAGAGACAGGATCTCTGGGAACAGTGCAGGGCTTCCCCAGTTTCATTTTCCCCTGGAAGAAAGGAGCTTCCAGGAGAGGTGGTTCCGATCAGGGCCCTTGAAGTCAGAATATAGCAGTGGTCACTTGGGAATGGAGAGGCGGAGGGGGTGGGGCATAGCATAGCCCCCAGGCTTCCAGGTCCTCAAAAGTTATGGATTTTGTGTTGAGGAAATCGGGGAAGACACCGTGTGATGAATCCTGACTCTAGCGAATGAGGGTGGGCGGGAAGCTGTAGGGTGACTGGTGGGGTCACTCAGGCTAGAGCATGCAGGGGGCGGGTCAGAGAGCTGCTGCTGAAGGGAGCTGGGGAAACCGGTGTTCAGATGGTTTGTTGTGCACCAAGTCGTCATGGGTAAGCCTTCTCTGTGACTGAATGGGTGCAGGGGACAGAAAGACACCTGCCAAGTGACAACACAAAAGGGGGTGTTGTCTGTTATTACCATGTCCTGAGATTACTATCACATAGCAGATGAGATGCGGAGAAGCCTCCAGGTGGTATCTGCCCTCCTAAGGTCACTAGGCAAAGATAGATGCCCAAGATAGGGCCTCTTTGAACACCAGCATCGGAGACCTGCCTCCGCCCGGAACTAGAGCAATTTAAGGGCCTCTTTGCTCACAACAGCTCCTGGGGGCTCGGACCTCAAAACCGGGGAGTGTTCTGAGAACATCCAGTTCTCTTCCGTGCGGCTAAGGAGACGGTCCACGCTAGGACCTGGGCTGGAAACAGGGCAGTCTGGGTCAGCCCTGGGGGCCAGAGGAACTCAGAGCCGCTGGGTGGTGCAGGCATGGGGTGGGCTCCGGGACCACCAGCAGGTCTCGCTGCTAGCAAGGCCGCACGCGCCCAGAGTACAGGGGGCGCGGCGGAGCGGGCGGGGGCGCGTTGGGGCGGGGCGGACCGGGCGCGCTCCGGGGAGCTGACCTCCTGCAGGACTGCCGCAGCGGGAGGGTTAAGTCGCGAGCCCGGCGAGCACGTGCGCCGATTGGAGCAAAGTTTCGGTGCGGGGCGGGGCGCAGGACGGTCCGGGGCGCGCGGATTGGCCGGAAGTTGTGCGGGGCGGAGCGCACGGCTGCTCGGCGCTCGCTCCGGGAGAGTTGACAAAGCCCGGCAGGGAAGGACGCCTCGCGGCGCGGCGCCCCGGGCCCCTCGCCCCGCC